GCTCCCCCGGTTAGACGCCGAGCATGTTCGACTGTGGGTGACAGTGCCCTTCTGTGTCGGGTGGTGGTGAGCCGGTGCTGTGGGCCCACCCCCTTCCGGGGACAGTCCCAGCACTGTCACCAAGACGTTCATCAGGAAGTCGTGCAGCAGACCCAAGGTCTGCTCCTCGGGAAGGTGTGGCCTACTGTCCCCCCCCCCCCCCCGCCGCTGCACCCCCCCCCCCCGGCTGCCTCCTCACATCAGGACACATGGGCTAGACTGAGGGGGTGGGCATCCCTGGAGGGGTGCGGATCAAGTTTGTGGAGTGTGAACAGGGGTGCTGGGTCCAGGCGGGAGGTGGGGGTGCTGTGGAGAGGGAGATCACCACCCCAGCCTGGGGACCACAGGGTGCAGAGACCTGGCTGCACTGTGTGTCTGAGTGGTGCGGCTGTCCTGTGTGTCTGGAGCCCAGACCCTGTCGTCACCAGACCCAGCACCGGCTGATCATGTAGGTCCCTCCCTCCCTCTCTTCCTGGAGGGAAAGATGCCCCTTGCCCCCTGGAGGACGGTGGCTGCCCCTAGGCATAGGTCTGCTCCTCTGTCCAGCTGCAGGCTTGCCTTTCCATCTCCAAATCTGCACCCACCCGTTCTCAGAAGTCGGTCCCGCTGTGGCTGCAGGGGCTCCCCTCGCCCCCGGTGGCTGGTGTCATTGAGTCTGTGTCCCCAGTGCCTGGCCCCTGTCTGGGTCTGGGGACAGTCCCCATGGCCGGCACACACCACACTCCTGTGCTCTGCCCTGGCTTCGCGCGGCGGAGACCCTGCCCTCTGCGCGACACCCGGTGGGGGCTGTACACACGCCCAGTGCTTTCCCTGTCTCCACTGTGCCCTGTGTACCCATGGGCACTAGAAGGTACCAGCACACTGAGTCTGCTTCCCTTCGCGCTCAGCCCACCCCGCGGTGCTGTCACCCGATGCCGGGCTGCACGTCTCCAGCTGTTTTCCCAAGTAGGGGGTCTCTGTCCCTGTCGTCACTGCGCCTTGGCCTAAGGACCATTTCTTGCGGGAGTAGAGGTCCAGCAAGTGGCCTGTAAAGAGGGTGTAGGAGAAAGCACAAATGACCCCTCCCTTCTCTCCTTTCTGTCTTCATGGTGCTGAAGCAGGCCCTGGGCTGTACCACTGAGCCCACCCCCAGGCGAGGCAAGTTCTCTGTTCGGGACACAGCTCGGTCGCTCCTGCCAAGTGCTTAATCCCTGTGCCTCTCAGCCCCACTTTCTTCCTGTCTGAAATGTGAGGACTGCTAGCAGTATTAGAAAAGTCGAGCATCCCTAATCAGAAATGTTCCAAAATCCAGAAAGTTTTGAGTGCTAAACCCATGAAGGAGTTTTGGGTTTTGGAACCTTTCAAATAAGACGACCTCAGAGGTTGAGCTCTAGTTTGTGTCTCATTATAATTTTAATTATTTTTTTTTCTGGAGGTAGGGTTTCACTATGTAGTCCAGGCTGGCCTTGAACTCACTACGTAGCTCAGGCTGCACTTGAACTGAAACTTGAAGTGATCCTCCTGCCTTAGTCTGCCAGGTACTGGGATTACAGGCGTGTGCTGCTGTGCCTGTCTTCTTTTCATTATCAAGGGATGTGTACTGAGCTGGTGTCCTTGACCTGGCAGGGAGTGATTCGTCTCTCGAGTCCACTTTGAAAACCCTCGTTCTGGTGGCAGCATTGTCCAGTCTTTTGCAGTGTTTTGTACTGAGGATCTTGGACAGTTGGACAGTGGTGTTTATAAAGTCCTGGCAGCACTGGGGCGAAGAGTGCTGACGTTTGTACCACCTCAAAGCCCCCTATCACTGAAGCCCCCAGGACTCAGTGGCTGCCCCCCATGGTAGTGCTGTGGGGCCCTTCAGTGGCCCCGGAGCCTGCCCGCCTCAGCCTCTGGCTTGGGGTCCTGCACTGGGCAGGCACTTGCCTGCCTCGGGACCATTGCTTGGGCTGCACAGCCTGAGACCCAGCCTGGAGCGAAGGAGGCTCTGAGGCCGCCCAGGTCCTAGCCCTCTGCCTGCCGGTAGCTTATGCTGGAGTGGGCGCTATTTCGGGGGTATCTGCCCATGGCCAGCAGGTCATAAACAGCCTGTGGGGGCCAGCTTTCCTAGCTGGGGTGCTTCACTCTGAGATAAGCTCTGCTGGGGAATTTTGGAAGGGATCCTAAAGTGCTAGTAGGTTGGTCAGCCCCTCCTCCATTTCAGGGTGCTGTCTCCGAATGCCTGCTGTGCCCCGTGAAGTCGTGTGCCATTGCTCAAGGCTGGTTTCTTCCTGATGACTTCGTGGCTGTCCCTAGGTCTGTGCCCACAGTGCAGTGGCCGCCAGCTCTGTAGTGCTGGAACGCTGGTCCTGCTGGCATTGAGGAAGGAGGGGCCACTCCTCCGGAGCACACGCCCTCCTCAGGGGCAAACGCCCTGTGGCGGCCTGCGATTGGTCACCAGCAGGCCTCGAATCAGGGGCCTGGCTGCGAAGGAAGCCCTGGGCCCAGGAGGAGGTCAGGAGGGCAGGTCAGCGCCCACCCAGACCTCTGGGCAGCCCCGCCCCCTCCAGCTGCACTGTCCTTTTGGGGCGGGGGAGGGGCACACACCGCCCACTAGGCAGAGGCTCTGGAGTACGGGACTGTGCACTTCGGTTCTGGCCAGGGCTGGCTGAGCTCCAGGATCGGCCTCGTGGTGCACCGCCCTGGCACCACAGGCTGTGCACAAGCTGTGGGCTCTTGGGCCCTCTGGGCTGGGAACCGTGAAATGTGTGGCCAGAGTAACTGGGGCCTTCCAGCAGGCTCTCAGGTTCAGAGGAGCTTCCCGGAGAAGCAGTGCCAGGGGCTGCGTGTGAATTCCAGGGAAGGATGTTGGTGTGTCTTCTCTGGCCCCTGGCCCCTGTGGGCCTCCTTGTCTGCAGTCCTGGTCCCTCCTCTTCACATGGCCAGCCTGCTCCGTGCCAGGCCCAGCAGTGCATGCGCCTGCCACCCACAGCCATTGCTGGAACCCTGCTCTCACCTGCTGCGGAACCACCAGCAGCCCTGGGGTGGGCAGGGCCCAGAGGGGAGGAGCGGCTGGCACCGAGGGCAGTACCGTGCTGCAGGCCTTCAGGGAGACAGGGTGGACAGTCAGCGAGCTGGCCCGACGGGATTTCTGGTCAGGGATGTAGAAGGACAGACCCCAGAACTCTGAACCGAGAGGGCTGAGAGCCTTGGAGAGCCACTGGGGCAAAGTCGAGGGGTGCGTGGTGGTAGCTGCAGGCTGGACCCCCAGGGTGGTGGGGGCAGCTGGAGCCTGAGTCTGTGAGCCCGTGCCATCTGGGATTGTGGACCCCGCTCTTCAGCTTAGTCCTGTTGGGGTCACAGTGTGGCTCTAGGTGGTACTGAGAGAGGTCTGGTCTTGCGCTCCCCGCAGAGCACAGAGCCCCCGCTGGCTTTCGAGCTCTGCCCGTATGAGGTCTGGGAGACCTGCTCCGCTTGGCCCTCAGCGAGCTTGGTATGGGGGGAGCAGGTGGCCCTGCTTCCTCCAGCTCCAGGCCCACCGAAGCGTACATTTGGGCAGGGCCTGCACTTTTTCTCGTTTGGGAAGCTGGTTCCTAAAACAGGTTGCAGGCGATTCCCGCGGCTGGTGACGGTGACAGGACCCTTTTGTTGCCAGGATACCACCAGCCTCCTAGTTCAGGAGACTGGCTTTACCCAGGACAGGCTTCCCGGAGTGTTCGTACGGTGTAGACAGTCTGGGCCTTAGCACAGCGGATGCCACAGGTGTGAACTGGTCCTTGAAGAGCCCATATGTGGTGGGTGCGGACCGTCCCGGTAACGGTGGCACTGGAAATGCTTTTTCTGTTGTTTGAGACAGAGACTCACTATGCAGTTCAGGCTGGCCTTGAACTCACTATGTACCCCAGCCTGGCCTCGAACTCACAGCAGTCCTCCTGCCTCAGCCTCCCAAGTGCTGGGATTATAACCGTGCATTATCACTGTTGACTGGAGATTTTGTCAGACCTCAGGAGCTCATGTCTTTTCTTGTCCCTTGGTGAACTCCAGGGTAGTTTTTCTCTTTTTTTTTAAGACTGACCCTTCCGAGTCTCATTTCCCTGGCCTCGGATATCGAGGCTTGGGCTCTGGCGGCCCCTTTAAGGGTGCCGGTGTCGGGCCCTGCTGTGGAATGCCAGGCGCCTCCAGCACACAGGCCTGTCGTGCTGTCCTGCCTCGTCTCCTGTCTCTCCTGTCTCTCCCTCTGTCTCCGTGAGGGTTAACAGCACTTGAGCTTGTTGTCTGGAACCGGTTCAGACTGGTTTTCTGGAAAGTGCTTTGTCTCTCCGACTGAATCCTGGGAAGGGTCATGTGGAGCCCAGTGATGTCATGGGATCAAAAACTGACTCAGCTGTTTTGTCCTTCTTTTCTTTCTTCTTTAAATCAAGATATGTGTGTGCTGCAGGTACAGGGTGGTGGCTCGGTGACGGGCCTGGCCCCAGCCCACTCCCAGTGTACCTCACTGGTACCCAAAGGGTTAAACGTGACCCCACTCCCCACCTCCTGGAGGTGAGCAGGGAGTCAGGGCACCTCCCTTCCCCAGAGCACAAGCAGGGGTCCACTGAGTCACCACAGTGACTCCTAGGACAGCGGGGTCGCCCCTCCCTGGGCCCCACACGTCACAGTCCTGCGCAGGCTCTGACCCGCGGGCGGGCGGCTCGGCAGGAGGACAGTTTGCCCAGTGTGCTCTCCTGTCCGAGTGCACCGAGCTCCTTCCTTTGGACGCGAGGCTCGCTCCTGTCCAGCCCCTGGGCCCTGGGCCCCTGTCTAGATGCTTGGGGCATCTCAGAAACCTGTCGCCTGCTTCCCAGCCATCCCCTGGGCTGTGAAGAATGTCCCATGGGTGCCTTTTGGGGCCCGTGTGTGTTGTGCCCCCTCTGCTGTCGCCACACTCAGAGCCACACCCTAGAAAGTTTCTAGAAGGTAGCCCTTGGCCGTGTCTGGTTCCAACGCTGTCTTCTCCTCCCCTCAAGTCCAGAATGACCGAAGAAGCATGCCGAACCCGGAGCCAGAAGCGAGCGCTTGAGCCCGACCTGCTGGAGGATGATGCGGAGAGCAAGAGAATAAAAATGGAGAGAGGACTGTCGGCTGCAGACCTCAGCCCTGAGGGTGACAGGAGGGTGACGCCAGAGCCGGGAGCAGGCCTGGCCCAAGGACTGCTGGGGGCCGCGGAGGCCCCTGCGGTGGCTGTGGGCAGAGGCGAAGGGCTGCTGGGCGACGGGCCTGTGGACATGCGCACCTCCCACAGGTGAGCGGGGTGGTGGCGGGCGGGCCAGCTATGCTGGGTTACCGTGCGCGTGTCCGTGGGCCCTGGTCCTGGCATCGCCCTGTCGGCAGGTTGGTGTCCTGGCCAGGTGAGCTCCCTCCTGGGGCCCTGGCACCAGATGGGAGTGGCTCAGGAGTGATCTCAGTTTATCCCGCCTCCGAAGCGGGCCCTCGCCAGCAGGGCTCACCTAAAGGCGCCTGCCACCTGTCAGCTCATGGGTTTATAGGACAAGGCGAGGCTTCCGTCCAGTTGTGCCTTCCTGCTTTTCAGACCGGAGCACGGCAGGCCAGGGATGCTGCACCCTGCTGGGTCACTGGGTTAGTGTTGCCCTGGAGAGAAGGGCCTTCTGCTTGTTGGACTCAGCCGTCACCCAGGGCAGAGCTCCTGCAGCCTGCTGTGTTGTTTCTCTTCCGTCCAGGGTGACTCTGCCAGTTCTCGGCTATTGTGAGGCTCAGCCAGGTACACACCTGTCACTCTAGCACTCGGGGAGGCTGAAGCAGGAGGATGGAAAGTTTGAGCCCAGATTGGACAGTTTAGTAACTCAGTGAGAGTCTGTCTCAAAAAAGAAGTGCGCAGATGTAGCTTAGTGTGGAGACCCTGGGTTCAGTCCCGGGACTGGAGAGGAAGGGAGGGCTTCAGTCTTCACCCCCTTTCTTTGTTCAGAAGTTCTTTCTCCCCGTAGAGACCAATTCAGACCTGGCCCCTCCTCTTCCTTTATACGTTCCTGGGATCTCTCCAGAATGCACACCAGGGTCCCCTCCTGCCCGCTAGACACCCTTCAAACACTGCAGAGGGTGGAAGCTCGGAAGCTGGTGGCTCCCTGCCTTTCCTGTCAGTGTCCATTGACCCTGCAGAGGGGCCCTGAGCGGTGCTGTCCATCCTAAGTCCACTTCGGAGTCCGGAGTAGGGGTGGTGAGGTCCAGATGGGGGCCTGGTCTTTCTCAACATCTGGAATCTGCACCTCCTCTGTCAGCCGCGTTCTGGGGCGGAGGCAGCCCCGCAGTCCAGGGGAGCAAGCCGCTTGGGTCCCTCCACCCAGAGCCCTTTCTCTTCGCTCTGCTTCCTGTGCCCCCACTCAGACCCAAGCTGACTCTTACACACAGGTTCAGGCTCTTTCCTTCCTCAGCAAGGCGAGGGTCTGTGGTGCCTTGGGTGAGGGCTGTGATGGGTGGCCGTGAACAGCTGGGTTGGATTGGGCCCACGTCCATGGGGACTCCCTGGGTGCCTCTTGTGTACCCCACCGCCGGCACCTGGCTCACGTTTTCTCCCCTCCTCACCAAGTGGCTCTGCGGGGCAGGTCTGGGAGATCCGGGGCGAGGCTGGTTGTTGAGATGGAGTTCGTAGCTGGGACTCAAAGCAGGACCTCTCTGTTACCAAAGCCCAGGGCTCCCCCGGAGCTCTGGGCTTCTTGGTTGCTTTCTCCACAGGGCCATCAGTGTTTGAACTGAGATTACTTAGAAGGTGGGATGATACTTACTGAAGTTTGTTGGGATGCTTTTCTTACGACTTATAAAGGATGCAAGGAACCAAGGGACAGGGACCAGCTCAGGCACTCGGGGCGTGGTCCTCCAGAGCACTGGTGACGCCGAGAGCATCTGTGTAGCCGCGGAACAGTCCAGCCTTGGAGCCGGTGGGTGGGTTGGGGTCGAGTCAGCCAGGCAGGCGACTGAGGGCCGTGTTTTTCACTGGTGAATCAGGCAGTGATCTCCACCTTGAAGGTGATGAGGGGATGTGGCGTGTGTACTGGAATCGGAGGCCACTGAGCCAGTGCTGGGGGCAGCTCCCCTTCTGCTAGCCTGGTGTTCAGAGCGCACGGGCCCCTCCCCGAGGCTTGGGGTCGTTCTGTGGGAGCACGGTGTGTGTGTGCGCCTGCGCGCGTGCTGACAGAATCAGGATCGTGCCTGCCCCAGAGCCACTCCTGGTCTGTGCTAGCCACCAGCCACCTCTGGGTCCTCACCGGGAGACTGGCGGGCACCCTTGGGCGGCTTGGTGGGTTTCCCAGGCTCGAGTCGTCCCACACAGGGAACAGCTGTGTTACCCACATTATGGGTCGCTGAAGCTTTTGGCTTCAGACTCAGCGTGCCAGTTGTGAGTTTTGCCAAGTGAATTTAATTTTCGTTCTTTAACTTCCTAACCGAAACACAGCAAACATAATGAACGGGACATGTGCTGCCAGATACATTTTCACAAACTGAGCACATCCTCGTGGCTCAGAGCAAGAAAAGAACTCGGCATAGGGAGACCCTTTCGCAAGGAAATCAGGAAAACGAAGGAAAAGAGAAGGGAAGAAAGAAAAAGTCTGGGATTGTCTCATGCTGGGTAAGAGAAAAGCACAGTGCTAGGTTGTTTATGGGGACACCCCCAAACTGCAGGGAAGAGCGGAGGGACACAGAAGGACGTGCCACAGTGAGCGGTGGAGCACTGCGCTGACTGTTGGTAGGAGATAGGTTAGACCTTCAGACGGAGCAGTTACTGGAGTTGGAGGAGCGCTTCGTGACGATAGCTCAGGAGTCCCCAGCAGTCATGACGAGATGGGTGTCCAGCCACAAAGCCCCAACGTAATCCCTGAGGCCTGGGCAGGGAGGGCTGATAGGGAATGGGCTCGGCCTCAGTCTGTGGGATGGGCGGAACCGCTGGCAGCACCCACCAGGTCACAGAGGACCCAGAGCCCCGCCGGCCCACTTGGCTGGGGCCTTCTCAGGGCCCATGGTGCTCCAGGCTGGACCTCGTGCCAGGCCATGCACACATCTGCCAGGGTGCTGTGACTTACAGGGGACAGTTAACGTGTGTTGGCAAGGATGCAAAGGACTGGGACCCCTCATGTACTGCGGATAGGAACGTAAAACAACATAAACATTTTTTTTCTTACAAAGCTAGCCATGAATTTACCATGTGACTGCAAAATCTACCCAAGAGAAGCAAAACCGTGTCCATGCGCACAGGCGCAGGGTGACACAGCAGTGCAGTTTGCACTGGCCCTGAAGTGGCAGCAGCTCAGATGTGCAGTGATGGGCGTCCCACAGCAGCTTCTGCTCCGGCATCACAAAGGGGAGCTGGCAGCAGTGTGCCCAGCCACTTGGCCTGTGATTTAGTTCACAGGACGTGTCCAGAAAAAGGAAGAGAGGGGCGCATGAGGCCCAGTGGTAGAGCACGTGCTTAGCGTGCACGAGGCCCTGGTTCACCCCAGCTTTAAAAAGACAGACGACCCTCCCACCCTGCGAAAAACCCAACAAATTAATTGTAGAGGTGGAGAGCCGGGCGTGGTGGCACATGTCTTTAATCCCAGCCCTCAGGAGGCTGAGGCAGGAGGATTGTTGCTAGTTCGAGACCAGCCTGGGCTACAAAGTGAGCTCAAGGCCAGCCTGAACTGCATAGGGAGACCCTGTCTCAAAAAGAACCGCGCCCCCCGCCCAAAAAAAAGATTGTAGAGGTGGAAAAATCTGCCCAAGGGCTGCTGTGGGTAGGAGAAGCAATGAAAGGGACTTCCTTGGGGATGACGAGAGTACACTAAAATTGGATGTGGTGATGCTTCACAGTTCTCCACACTTGATAAAACTCGCGGAATTGTACTCTCCAGTGGGTGGGCTTCGTGGTGTAGAAAAACCTCCATGTGGGTGTTACAAAATACCAGGCGCTGGGGATGGACTCAGTGGTGAACCCTGCCCGGCACGTGGAAGGCCCAGAATTCCATCCCCAGCTCCACAAAAAATACAGGTTAAGACTCTGGCATTAGAACATGCCCAGGGAAAGCAACATCCAGAGGTAGGAGCTGCGCAGTGCGCCGCCCACCCCAAGCCTGGGTCCCAGGCCGCAGCTGGAGTGGGCACAGGCCACACGTGCTGTATCCCGTAAGTAGCCTGGCCCCTGCCCTGTCCTGTGGAGGCAAGTGTGTCACTGTTGTTGGTCAGGAAGAATGGGTCACACCCAGGTCAGAACAGAAAGGCCCCTCGCAGAGGGCTCAGGGGCGGCTGCCCCATGCCTTTCTGAGGACCTATCTGCGTGTGGCTTTGTGAGGCGCTCCCTGTCCTGGTGAGAGTGGCAGGCGGTGGACTGCAGTCCGCTGGGCTTTGTCCTGGTCTCCTGGCTTTGGCCCGGGTTACCCTGCTGCTTCTCTGGGGCCAGCAGTATGGGAGACATTGCTGAGGCCTTGGGGAGTGAGGCTGCTGTTGGCGCCATGTAGCGCAGAAGTCACTGGACCCTAAGCAGCCTTTTTTTTCTTTTCTTTTTTTTTGTTTTTTTTCCAGTACTAGGAATCGAACTCACGACCTTGTGCTTGCCAGGCAGGCACTGTGCCGCTGAGCTAAATCCCCAGCCTCCTAAGCAGGTTTTGAAGCTGCAGCATGGAGTGGTTGGGTCCACCTCTTCCTGCCTCTAGGAAGGCAGCCCACGGTCCCTGTCCCTTGGCACCCCCAGCCTCCCTACCGGAGCTCCTGCTGCTGCTGACTGTCCCTGGGCCCCTGTGACCTCTCAGTGGAAAACACCAGAGATGCTATCTGTGTGCTGGGCCTGCAGCACAGAACCTGCTGTGAATGGTGATGTCCTAGATGACAGTTGGGATCCACGAGGCCAGCTCGGGACCAGCCTGTGAACCTGGTCATGGACGAAGGGGCCAGCAGGATGATGACCCCATGTATAGATACCAGTCTCCCTTGGGTCCTTGGGACACGTGGATCTCCCTTTGGACCTAAGACAGGGTTTGGTGCTACATAATAGGGTGTGCGCACGATTTACACTCAGGTTAACATGGGTCCTATTCCAAAAGCAGAAATGCAAAAGGAAAGTGATGTTGCAGACGCTGGGGGCAGGGGTCTGGAACACCAGCTGTGTGGATGGGCCGGCCCGGAAGAGAGAAAGGCTTTTGGATACAGAGTTGTGGGGATTTCAGAGTGGTCAGTGGACCCGATGCTGTGCTGAGGCAGGGCATCGTGTGTGGCGGTGGGTACCTGGAGACCAGAGACCTGAAGGCCTCTCGAGGGCACTGC